ATAGTTTCTAATTTGCTCACAAAGTTTTATAAGCTAAATCACTTTCGGTACAGGGTATATTAAGTTTATGCGAACGTATGCAGCACGTGGAAGAACTTAAGGCAAACACACCTTTTATTGTACTGATCGATTCAAAAATATGTGTTCAAGCTACGGCTGGCAATTTTTGAGATATTTTGATAAAATTTGGTAAAGTGATGTGTTTGTCGTACAAGGTTTACATAGATAACATTGTTATGTTAAATTGTGTGTGCTCAATAAAGCTTAGTATTACAAAGGTTAATTTCTCAGATAAATAAATCATCTCGAACATGCAGGAATAGATTTTTCAGAGTCACAAGTTAGAAACAATACCGTCCTGATGAAAGCATTTTCAATCCGCTTATTCTTTTCTCAATCGTATTAATCAGTTCATTGAATAGCAGCAGCTTCTACAGATACATCGTCTTCAAATGTTATATCCAAATTACGCTTTTCCCCTATGCTCCGATAATAATCATTTTTCCATTAATATATATCCTAATTCTAGGTCATTAATTATAAAATCATACAAGCAGTTGAGAAACAAGTAAGAAGAAGTCCAATGCTTTATTTACTTCCTATCATTCATTCTAAAAGCAAATACATATGCGAATGTGTCGAAATAGTTGATCGGTCAATGTTGAGGTTATGTCTGATTTCTGTAGTTGTCTTCTGCCGGTCAAGGAATACTAAAATAGTACCGGCGTAATTTGAAAGAGAGAGAGAGAGAGAGAGAGAGAGAGAGTGGCAAGTAGACACGGTTACATCTATCTGTACATCCGCGCTAAACAAGAATGTATAACACTTTCGAATTATTCGTAGACAAAGATTTTTATTATTGCAACAGATTCGCTGTTCACGCTTATCGAGGATACACTTAATATACACGTGATGTGGGGTCGGACAGCTGGACAGACAGAGAGTTATTGCCTGCAGCAATTTTGCTATTCATCCTCAGGCACAATGTGTACGTGGTTCGCTAAGTTACAAATGTCTTCTCTGCTCCTTGATGCACGCAGAACAATGCACCTTATGAAGTAGACTGTAATGTAAAAAAGACAATCATTGAAAATCAATTGAAAATTTTCAATTATATTGGGCGTTGGTCTACAACAATTCAACACGTAAAGGGTTTAGACCGGTAATAACCTCACCTACCTTAAATAAGAATATCAGTTATTTGCCTAATATATATATATATATGCATATGTGTAAAACGTTAAACATTATTAGTAGTGTTGTTTACATATTCTTTGATAATTTTGAATACGGACGGATTGATGTAAATCGATCTTTTGTAGACAGATAACGGATATCGAAAAGATTCGCTTGAAAATTCGCGCTTAATATTCAAATTAATTAACAAAACAAATTTCGCCTACTTTTTTAATGTTTTTTTTTTTTTTTGCTGTTTGTG